TTCATGGAAGGGCTGTTGTAATGCCACCCTCTTTCAAACAGCAAATAGGCTTGTGTTGAGTTTTACCATCTTCTTTTCTACTTTTCCTCTTTTTTTTAACACTGGGAATTTATTTTTAAAAACGGAAAACATACTCTTTTAAAAAGACAACAAAGAAGCCTCTGTGGCCTAAAATGAAGATGCAAGGATGACGCTACTGAGTTGACATCCACATGCCTTATAACCACCCACTCAATGAGGCGGAGAAATCCTACTAACCCTATTTCAGATAGAAGGAAACCTAGATTTGGAGACGTGAAGTGAATTCCCCAAAGCACACAACTAGGATGTGCTCAGCACCGGAAATCTAACCGCTCACTGTACTGCACTGCCTGCTCCTCTGTTCATCCTGCAGCCATGTCACTCTACATACCCACAGTCCACCTCTGCTCTCTCCATCCCAAAAGCATGAACTCTAAAATCCAGCTACTGATAACATGAAAAAAAATGTAATTACTTCACAAAATCCGTAACAAAAAGAAAAAAAATCAGAGCGGTCAGGCAAGTCAAAAGTACTAACAGAAATGTTTACTTTCTAGCCCAGAAGGTGAAATATGTATTTATTGTATACAGGACTGACTGACCTACGGAAAGAACATCATGACATCTGGTCAAAACGAACAGTGCTCATGGTCGGGATGTTCTCCACCCACCCTCCCACGAAGGAAACGCTCCTCTTTGCACCCACCTAAGCTGGCACGAGATGGTAAAAACCCAATGGTAGGTCTGGCGAGCTCATTTCCACATGTCAGGATAGGCTCACGGGGAGCTACATTACTTAAAATGAATCACAGAAAGTCCCAGACATGGGCAGAGCTCCAGCCTGAAGTTGAATACATTAGACTTCCCCCACGGGTGGCTCACGGGCTGCATCTGACCCAAGCAATATGTGTCTTTGTGTGTGTGTGTATGCCAGGGAGAGGCCAAATAGTGTTTAGAAATAGGAGAGCCACCTATCAACCAAAGGATCTATGTGGCAGTCACCACAGAGAGACACCAGACATGAAGCTTTCCTAAGAAACGAGCATGCCACTGTCTCTAAAACTGTGTTGTCAGAAAACTGAACCTGTATCTGATGAAGCTGAGTAAGCCACATAACTGAGGTGCAACCAGCCAAGTTCGTACTTGTGGGAAACACTACAGACAAAAGAAAATCACTCTAGCAAATACCTTGAAAAGGAGGAAAAGATCAATGAAAAACCTATGGATTCAAAGAAATCTAAGACATATAAACCCAACATTATAAGCAGACCATGATGAATTCTAATTGCAATCAACTAAAAAAAATTCATTTTGGGGACAAAGGAGAAAATGGAGACATTCTGGATTTTGAGAACAGTCGGAATTATTATTTGTTGGTCTGCGGTTGGTGTGTGATGATGGGAATGTGGGTTATAGGTGAAATGGATACAGTCTGAACTTGATTTCAAAATCATTGTGGGGTGGTGGAGCAGGCAAAGGCACTGAAGAAACAAGTTGGGTGGTGACACACAGGAGCTCATTAAACTACTGCTGACTTTTGAGTTTATCCAAAAAAAACCTCTGAAATGGAAAAAAGTTATAAACTAAAGCTACACTGAAAAATATATGGAGACCTCTCAAACGAAACAAAAGAAAACAAAGCAAAACAAAATGTCTGGCTTCGCTTACAAACTAGAAGTTCTGGCAACACGTGATTTCTTCCCTACCCTGTAGAGATGGGATGAAGCTGAGAGCAGCGCCTCCTTCAGATGGCGCAAGAGCGGTGCGGCTGGCCGCAATCCCCACCGTATCCTAAGGTCTCCTCAGCACTGAGACTGCTTTCCAGCTGACTTCTACCCCTCTCACGGCACCACTGAGGATCCCTGCCTCTACCACGAACATACCCCAGTTTACAATCATGGGGCATTTGGCTGCCAGTGTGGAACTAGACGTAGACAGACCAGGGTCCTGGATGGGCACAAACACAGCTAGCACAAAAAAACCCATCTGGGTAACGCAGCTGAGGAAAGCAGTCTCAGTGCTGACCACAGCTAGTTGTCTGGAGAGAGGGGTTCTTAAATGGGATTCTGAAAGTCAGAAATCCACATCTCCTGGACTAGAGAATGAAAGATGGAGGCTCCTGGTGGGCAGATGGGAGGATGGCAGTGGGAACTCGAGGGCAGAAGGAAACATTTGAGGCAGTTGAAGATGGTCCACTACAGGGGCCACATGGAGTTATCTTCTTTGTTGTTAGCTCCAAAAGATGCTAGTTTGTTTATTGCATTAAGAGCAGTGTTTTTCATAAATAAAAAGTTGGCTGGCAAGGTTATCTCGATCTACTTTAAATAAATGGCACTATGCACGTGTCACCTACAGTACAAAAATCTGACACGCTATGGATTTCGTGATTGCATCTGTCGATCAGCATTGCTCAGTGAATAGCTGTTAATCATCTACATTCTTACCAATGCCATTTACACGCAGAAGTCTCTGGACATGGCATTACGCTTTAAAGAACATCTAAATACACATTTTTTCCACACGATACAGTGGGTTTTCCTAAATATTACCCTGTGACAGGAGGATGTGTCAAGTAGGTCATTTTCTTAGGTTATGTAAATAAGCAAATAGTTCAGTTTCTTTTGCACCTAAAATGCCATGGAATATAATTTTCTATATGGGCTCTGGCTCAAATGGCATGGAGGAGACTAGAAAAAAATTTTAACAGAATAATTAATCTCGTGTTGAGTTTTCCTGCTTGCTTCAGCATAAATACTGGCTAAATTCTTAATAAACAGGTGACCTAAAAATCTCAGAAGTCTGCCTCCAACTTCTTGCACCTCTGCAACATGTAAGGAGCCACAGTTTCTGGTCAATGACACATGTTTCATAATCCTGCACTGTGCTGGTCAACCATATTTTTGGAAATGTTTCATTACATAATTTTTCTGGGAAATGTCATTATGTGATATCATCTCTGGGCAACTTCTCTGCCAAATTGTTCATGCCAATGACTGGAAAATTGCTTCACATTTTGTCATAAAATTGCTATCTATTCCATCACTCCAATTCCTAATTATCCTATCCCTGATAAAAATATAAATGATTAACTTTCATGGTAAAATGGTTATTTCAATGCCAATGTTAATTACAAACCTACGAGTTAAAACAGAAATACACTTTTCTGGGAAATGTACAGACAACATACATTTGTGTATGGACAAATTTTTATTTGTACAAAAAAAGGTGTGTATGTATAAATATTTATGTATGTAAGCCTATGTATCTGTGTATGGCAATTTAAAGTATAATGTAAATTATTTATGCATCCAATTTTTCTCATTTTCCCCTCCTAACATATAATCTCTCTTCCTCTCTCTCTCTCGCATACACATACATAGACAAAAACTGTTTCACAAACACACATGAGATTTTGTAATAGTGGCTTTATACAGTCTGTAACATGATGTGCTTTATAGAAACACTGGATAAATATACTTCTGACAAGTAAAGATGGATTCCTTTTAAACACTGTACCAACATTAAACCAACATAACAAGTGTGTAAGAACTGAGTAGCAAATAGGAAAGTGATGATTCTAATAAAAATCTGAGCTAAGACCAAAGACCTAAATTCTGCAAATAGGAGTGTATGTTATAGAGGGGTGTCATATAAAGGGATGCTGCCTTCAATCATCTCTAGGAGAGAACAACAATAATGGTTGAATGGAGGTGTAGCAACGAGACAAATTGCACAGCAGGAAGTGAAACAGAAGACACACTTTTTACACCGGAAATGAGATGCCTAAAGATATAATTTTCTAGGCAGGATTTGGCTTAAACGGCATAGCACACGTCAGTCAACACGGCCACAGGCACGGGACCTACAGTGGTGTCGAGGATGCCACTGGACTCAACAAATTCCCCTTTATAGCAAGGTGGTGGCAGGAACAAGCTAAGAGCTAAAGCCAAGTAGAGGCAGCCCAAGGTCTGTAGACCCAATGGAACTCCCAAGATACTCACTAACATGGCGGGAACAAAGCTGAAAGTGAGAAAAGCATTGTATAAAGATTAAGTCTGAATAGGATAAAGAACAGCAAAATAAATAGCAACAAAGAATGCACGAGCAGAAGCCCTAGTGGAGACGTCATTTCTTTCTTTTTAAGAAATTTAGGCCCACCTCATAACGCACTGGCTGAACACAGTGCAGAGGGAGCTGGATGCCACATTCAGCAGTGGTTCAAATCCTAGGCCTGGTGGCTTGGCCGTGTATGTGCACCCCAAATCCTGCAGGCATGAAAGAAGAAGGACTGCAGTGTCACTGTGTCCCACTGAGAGGTACTTTGTCTCTGACAAAGGCACACGAGCTCCAGCAAAGCAAAGAGAAAGAACTTCCTGTCCACTGGAGAATAGGCATCTTGGCTCTGGTAGCGGCCACCATGGTGACCTTTCTAAACTGATAATACCCAAATAAAAATGACAGGGAAGGTAAGCGCTCACGTTGCCGCTGCCCAGTGACGGGATAGCAACTTTCGAAGTTGCTAATATGAGAATTTAGTGACCAAATTATTTCCACAGTCTCCTGAGGACTCCCAGGTGACTATTAGAACGATTTTTGGCGTTACTGAGTGTGACAAAAGCTTACATTCCTGGAACTAAGACTTTGAGAATAGGAACAAAACTGAATCACAAAACGATCCTGTTCCAGTGTTTCCGGGTCAAGGATGATACAGCCTTATTCCCCTACGTGGGAGTGACACGGTCAGACTACACACGGGCTCAAAGGACTAGCACCAGGAAGCCCTTTTAAATTTCAGAGTGTGGAAAAAACTGCAACAACCTTGGAAAATTCATTTATACCATACTTTACGGGTTTGTAACAGCCGCGCACACATTTCATTTGCCTCACACCATCTTTCTCTAGCTGGTATCATTAGTACCCTCGATTCCAAATGCAAACATAAGCCTAAAGAGGTCGCAGTGGTTCCGGGCCATGCCCTCGGGAAGTGACGGGGCTAATGACCCCACGTTTCGGGCTCTTTCCTCCACGCGTCACGCCGCCTGACCAAAGCACTGAAGGCGAAAGGGCAGATCAAAGCTGCAGGGTGATGACTACACCACTGCTCAGGCTTTCTTTATTTCCTATGTATTATTACTATAAATAATATTAGAATAACCATCTTTGAATCAGAGAAAGAAAATACCGAAAGATTCTTCCCTAGCTTGAAAAAGGAGATGACGAAAAGACAGGGAGTGAGTAGCGTATACGGGTTGTGCACAGGAAGGTTACAGAAGTTAACATTTGGGCTATTGACATTTTTATTAGGAGAGAGTGTTTTTAAAACATACTAAAATAGACCATGACCGAGGAAAGAAAAACATTTCTATCTGTCCAGCGAGCAGAGAGAGCTCGATCATCCTTCTCACACCCTGGGCTGTACACATGCTGTGTCATACGTGTGCTGTGTGTGTGGAGTCTCAGACGTGTTGGGGAGTCTGGACACGAGGCTTCTAGATGGGGACCGCCCCATGTTCCTTTCATTTGGGGGATGGTCAAGATGGTCACAGGACATGGAAATGAATTAATGAGACGCCTTCTCGACATCACCCTGAGTGAGGGACAAAGCAGAAGGGAAACGACAGACAGGAAGATGGATAACGGACAGACGCCCTTCGTGACAGGTGAGTCTGTTAGAAAGGATACCGTGAGCTCACAACAGCAGGAAATAAAGTAAACCTCCAGTAAAGGAACAACAATATCCTATTAAAACCTGGGGGGAAAGAAACCATGGTAACAGTGAGTAACGGGTACACACAACTCCCTACGTGGTGCTACACTCTCTGGTTTGTTATTCAAGAGATTATTCCGATGGACGGTCGAACCACTTCCATGGTCATCTTAGCGTCACAATTATGCGAACTACACGAATCTGTTCGTGGGGACGGGCTATGCACAGTTCTGTATGTTTGGGCAGAAGCAAACTGACTGAAAAGATCCAAAGTTTTGATTTAAACAGGAAGGGGGGGCGGGGGTGCAGTCCATCTAAACAATATCCTAGCTAAGCAGACATGCTGTTTCTGACTGAATATGAAATAGCACCTTGCTCTCCATTATACCACCTTAAATTTACTCTTAAGCACTCTCGTGGCTAATAAGACAGCATGATATCAACATATCCTTGTTTGCCTACATTTTTAACTGAAAAAATTGTGACACAGGATCCTACATAGCTGGCCTAAAGTTAAAGAAGCCAGTTCATGGCAGAACCAACTGGAACTCAAGCCTTCAGATAATATTGGGTCTTTGGAAAAGTCATGATATATTATTTTTCTATGTTTTTCTTTGCAAAAATGCGTTGCAACTTTTCTGATGACCCAGTGGATGCTTTTCCCTCTAGCTCCCCTGCCTCTACCCTACCACAAGAGCTCGTGGTGTGAGTGAACCTTTGGAGAGCAGAATAAACGGTGTCTACTTGATGCTTGCAGTGTTATTACACAGTCTTTATGTATACTTACATCATCGAACAAAGGAGAAAGAATCTGTTGCTGTGTATCCAAAAAAATCACATTTTTTGGTAATCTTAAAAATTAAATAAAATGTAAACATAACAAATAAATTTTTTTAACGATACTGACCATACTCACAAACTTATGTATTTGCAAATAGGTGGGTGGGTGCATCTTTAAATAATCAGATAGGGAAGGGAAAAAACAAAGCATGTTTTGTACACTCTAAAGATGTATGGTGATAAAATGTAAATAGTAAATATATTTTAAAACATTGGTACCAAAAAAAAAAAAAAGAAAAATGAAAAAATCAGATAGGTTCTGTGAAAATTCAGATGCTCATTCTCCCCTCATAGGTCTGTGGGCAGCTGGATTTCTTCCTAAGACAGGTGGCACAATAGAAATTCCAGGAAAATCACAGTGCAGATGTCACATGACAGGGTTTCATTCTTTTGCCAGATGAGGCCGGTTCTTGCCAAAGGCAATTTGATGTCTGTATTACCTGGCTATTCAAAATCGGTTAGCTTTTAAGATCCCGAAGTGTTCTTGCAACATGGGAAGGGGCTCTTTGGCCATTAACATGGGAAGGGCCTGCTTCTTTGTTGAGACGGCTGGGCTCCTTCAGCCCTAGGTTTATACGGTCTCCAATAGACGGCTGATAAATCCACGGTAAAAAATAAATTCATTGATTTTATAGACAGAAAATATATGTTACACCATACAGTCCAACAGACTGTGGAAGAACCATGTAAAATAATAATTACTTTTAGAAAACAGTGTTTAGAAATCTATTCCGTGTACCACCTGCTTTTCTGTTCCCGGAGAGCATCCGTGTCCCCCCCAACCACTGCTCTCAGTTCAGAACACAGACCCATGGCCAGCACACAGCACCAAGACTTCCAGCCCGGCAAGTGTTATTCATCAGAACTTTTAAAAGGGAGATGTGAGTTTACTTTAGCCACCTGGATTCTCCAATACCTTCGGCTTCACATGATAATCAGTTGCTGGTCTAAGATCTTTCAGGTTACATTCTATCATGTAACTCACCTCACATGATAATCAGTTGCTGGTCTAAGATCTTTCAGGTTACATTCTAATTCTTCTCCACTGCAAAGAAAAACCACTCATTAGTTAATAATAGCAATTTCAAAAGCAAAGCGAGCTTCTCCTAGCCATGTACTGAGAACAGAGTGCACCTCACATGATAATCAGTTGCTGGTCTAAGATCTTTCAGGTTACATTCTAATTCTTCTCCACTGCAAAGAAAAACCACTCATTAGTTAATAATAGCAATTTCAAAAGCAAAGCGAGCTTCGGACTTGGGTCTCCTAGCCATGTACTGATAACAGAGTGTCGTCAGAAAAGTGATGATGCATTCTTGCATAGAGAAACAGAAAAATATGCCATGGCTTTTCTGATGACCCAATTCAAGACTGCTGTATCAGTTTCAACCATAAACCAGAAATTGACTTTATTTTTGATAAGAAAATCAGATTTCTTTTAATGATGCCACGCTATACCTGAAAAAAATGACAAGATGAGCTTTCTGATAAAATCTCAAATGGTCTTACGATATTTTAAAAGTAAATACATAAAAATAAATAGATAAGTAAACAAATGCATGCATGAATGAATGAATATAAATTCCTTTGCCAGCTATCTACCAAAGGTAGCTCTCTGACCCACTTTTATAGGAACCTCAACTACTTCAACTCTGGATTTTCTTCATGAAACCAAATATACGTCCTTCATACACGAATGCACCTAATACATAGCTTTCTTAAAAATAAAACTAAGGGACCAACAGAGGGCACAACGGTTAACATCACTGAACTCGCACATAAGTCGACCACAGTTTGAGTCCTAAATCCGGCTTAAAACTCACATCAGACACATGTGTATGAGTGCCCCAAATCCCGAAAGGAAAATGGAAGAGAAGGAATTACAGCATGGCCATCCCCCTGGGGGGTGGTTTCTTGCTTTCTGTCTCTATCTCACATGCACCCTATAGCAAAAATCTCTCTTAAAAATAAATACATAAATAAATAAATAAATAAATAAATAAATCTAAAGTAGCACTCAGAAAATAAAGCCATTTATGTGATCACAAGTTACTCAACTTATAAGGAACCAACAGACATAAAATAAGGACTGTTTTATTAAAAATTTTTCAAGAAAGTGAGGGGATGTGTATAGATAGGACTTATTTTATATTATAAATGTTAATGTTTGTTTTCAGATGAACCATTAAATCAACAGAACTCTGAAAAAGGTCAATGTTTTAAAGGCAAAGAGTTACTATGGAACTATTCCAAATTGAAGAAGTCTAGAGACATGATTGCTAACTGCAACATGTGACCTTAGACTAGATCTTGTCCTGGAGAGGGAAGAAGCTGTAACCCCATTCTTCCAGAATAACAGACATTATTTAGATCAACTGGCAAAGCCGGAATACGGTCCACGGATTGGGTAAAGCATTTTATTGACATGCATTTACAAAAATAACTGCATAGTGGTCATTTAAGAATATCCTATTCTTAGAAATGCACTAAACTATTTGGTGGTAAAGGATTATGACATATTTCCACTTATAGGAAAAAATGATAGGAAAGAAAGTAAAAAGGGGAGGAGCAGAAATGATTAAGCAAATGAGGAAAAAGTTAACCCGTGAATCTGGGTGGAGTATAAGTGCATTTGTTCCTTGATCTATTTTGTAACATTTCATAAGTTTAAAATTATTCTAAATAAAAGCAGTTTTTTAAAGTTACAAATCAAAAGCTCTGTCCATACCTTGCCTGTAAGTCTCTTTGAGTTGCATCGTATCTTTAATTTTTTTTTGCATTTGCTAAATTAATACCAGGACAATTTACACAATAATTCTAATTTTCATCATCACTTTTAAAAAAATCTAACGAATCAGCAAATCTAAGCAACAAGTATTTGGGCTGACTGGTGCCTGCTTCCTTTAGAGGGAGACAGGAACTGCTGTTCGCTCATTCCCAACCTCTCTGCTTTCTCACCGATTTCACCTGCCTCGCTCTGCTGGGCCCTTGAGACCAGCTCCTGTCTACAACGTCCATCTGGCATTAGTAGAATCTACCTGTTTCTTGGCAGTGGGGGGAATGGCTCTCTGCATTTCTTCAAGGTCTCTACTCATGCTGATTTTTCAAAACAGAACCAAGTGGTTATGAACCAGACTAAGGAGGTAAGGGTTTTATCCACAGAAGAGTCAGGCCTCAGTGGCGGTTTCTCCGCAGGGCAGTGATATGGACTGCCTTCGGTTTCTGCGGTGTGAGGCCAGGTTCAAAGGGAGCAAGAGCGATGCTGGCCCCTGAGGACACACTGCAGGGGCCCAGGGAGAAGTCGGTGAGACAGAATGGGCAACATCGTGTGTCTGTCTTTATCCAGAAGACCCATCTGTGGATAACTCAAGACTTAGAACAAGGACCAGCCACGGGGGTACAGAGGTAACGCAGTACTCCACAAGGCTGAGGCCAGGTGGGAGGTCTGGGTTGGTGTCCTGAAGTCTCCCTGCACACATGGGGTGTTCACGTGACTGTGATCCCGGCTGCTGAGGCTGGGGGAAGATCAGTGTGAAGACCCTACTGGAGGGTCTACCTCTCTCATGGAAGAAATAAATACACTTAAAAAATCAGGAACAGGGATGTGGAGATCTAGATCTGCAGCACTGACAAGATGATGCGGGAGAGAAAACGAGCTCTCGGGCAGAGCAGTGGGGTGTATGCGACCACATTAGCCTAGGAATGGGCAGTCATGCACGGGCTGCTTGCAGGGAGGGCAGACAAGTAGAACCAAACTGCTTTCTGACTGCCCGCTCTGCAGACCTGAGCAGTGCTCGGCAATTATAGAGAAAAGACCTTAACCCTTTTCGAACACAGCTATAAATCATTGTACCCAGAGTCCATAAAGCAGAAGGGGCTAATCCCTTTTCTGTGTGTTCAACTTTTGACCATTTAAGAAAGCCTTGGAATGAGATATTTGAAAGTAATCTTTACTGCAGGTTGAACAACTATTGTGCAGGCTAAGAAGGAGGGTGAAAGGGAAGAAAACCATATTGTAGAATTAAAAAAAAAAACCGATATAAAAAGGCCTGGATCTAAAATGTAAGAAATAATCATGATTGTCCAATGTATGCAAAAATGAAGGCATAGTCACTTTTTGTCATGACAGACATGAATGGAAAGTGTTTATTAACGTTATACTGATGGCTAGAAAACAGCGATATATTTCACCAATACCAAATAGCTCTATGCTGCTCATTTCTGATTATCACTAGTCTGGACAAAGTTAGCTCTTGACATTGTAATTCTTGCTAATTTTTACAATAAACTCTTCAAAGGAAAATTTGCAAAGCCTATACATTTTTTTCTTCAACAACTTCATCTTCACAGGTTAGCCACAAAGAACAACACATAGTAACGTGCGCTACCTGTAAATGATCTTGTATTTCCCATCTCGTCCTTTGTCTGATAAGGCGACCTCGTAACTGTAGGGGAAGGAGAGACTGCTGTGCGGTCCACATGAGAGTCCAACGGGAGGCGCCCAGGACAGCACAACCGTTCTTGCCTGGACGTTAGAGACCTGAGGAAGAAAAACACGGGACGAACAGATTCAGTTCCGTCTCATTGCAGGTCAGACACGACTTCCTAATGACATTTCGTAGTTATTAGCAGTGGCGTAGAACTCGCTCAGAGTTCATCCGAAGTAAACAATGTGAACTGTGACAACAGATATCCCATATGGTGTGCTCCTATCAAACTCCTGATGTCCAAAATAAGGCTCCTGCCACATCTGTCCTTACAAGGCAGCTTCCATACAAGCCTGGTGCCCAACTCTCAGTTCTCCAGAGAGAAAATAACCAGGCATACCTGGGAACTCTGTAAGAATACACGATGGTATGCATGACGGTGTTTGCTGAATTCTCTCACGTATCATTAGTGAGTGATCCTGAGGAACTGGGTAGTATATTTAATTTTTAACCTCATCGGAGGTCATTCACCATGAAGAGTTCAGATTATAATGAAAAAGGCAGCTTAGGCAATAGAAAACACAGAGCCAGGGTGTGACACGGCTGCACACCCAAGAACGCGGTGGTAATGCCAACTCTATGAATGGGTCTGAAAACAGCTCAGTCAGATGCCAGTACCCTAAATACCAAATTCGTACCCATAAATTCACCTCCTTGCAAGCACTACTTTTTTCATCATAAGTTCACTTTTTTTCCTTTTAGGACTTGGTTCAGTTATGATGTGAGTGAACAGAGACGTACAACACTGGAAGCATCAGCTAACACAATGTCCAGTCTTCCCCAGGCTCCCTGAGCAAGCCCCCAGGGAGCACGCCACCATCTGAACACAGCTATTTGTGGGGAGGCATTCTTCTGATATGCCAGCTAATCAGAAATGCCCCTTTGGAATGTCCCTTTGTTTTCAAAGGAGCAGGTCTGGGATGTCTGCCTTGATACCAGCATTCTGGGGCCAGTTCTCCAGCTGTGTTCTTGTCCCTTGCTCTCCCTGACTCCTGGTCTCATTTCCCTTCCTCGGCCTCCGGAATCCTCAGAGAAATAGCACTTGGTCTCCAATAGGCTTGGAACTCACTTTGTTTCAAGGTCGATTCCAGGAAATTACGTGGTGCCGTGTAAGAGAATATCCTACAAAGGTGAACGTGCAAGCCTAGACCTTCTCCTAGGGTCCTTCATGACAGAGGAAGAGTTCTAGGAACCCTGTCTGGGTTCGAGTCTGTTCCCGAGTGACAGTCCTTGTACAGGCCTCCACACTGCCCTGTGTGGGAGCTTTCTCACAGCCGTGACCGGCGAGCTGCAGCACACAGCCTGTCTGTCCATCACGACAGCCGTCTCCTCACCCAGGGAGTTTCGGAGTCACTGCGCTAACTGACTTTCTCACGGTTAACTGATCCGCCAGGACTAGGAGTGATGTCCGTGTAATGGTGTAACAGTGGCAATGTGGTTACGAAGTTATCGAACAAGGTACATTTCACATTTGTTTCTGCACTGGCGATGTGAAAAGGTCTATTACGTAGGTTACACCAGTGTAAGTCTGCATATGAATTATTTCAATTAAACTGTTTTTGAGTACTTTGAAGAACTCATAAAACCACCATCTACCTCTTTTATTTTTTAAGAGATTTTTGCTATAGGGTGCATACGCTCTCAGAGAGACAGAGAAAGTGAGAGGTCAACCCTCCCAAGAGAGGATGGCCATGCCACAATCCTTTCTCTTCCATTCTCCTCTTGGGATTTTGGCCACACATACACAAGTCTGGCATAAGTTTCAAGCCACCAGGTCCAGGACTCAAACCTTAGTTGGCTATCTGGGAGTCCAGCGCTTTAACCACTATGTCACCTGCTGGCCCTAACCACTATCTACTTCTGATTAGAAATCATTCTTGTTGATGTATTTATTAAATGTAGATTCCAGCCTGAGAACAGCTGTTACACGCGTGTGTGTATATAAACATGGAGATACACGCACACACGGAAATTACAAACATGCATTGTCATGTGCTTATCTGACATGTAACCCTTAGCTCTATCCTAGCTCCTCTGTCCTGTTCATTGCAGCGTTTCAATACTGCTCTGTGAAATTGTACTATTTGTTTTAGATTTTGCACAGGGCATGTGTACTTGCTAGAGAGAGACAGAAAGAAAGTGAGACACCGCTTCTCAGAGGGGATGGCCATACTACAATCCCTTCTCCTCCACTCTCCTCTTGGGATTTTGGGAACACATGCACATGCATCCAATGTGTTTTTTTTATTTTTTTTATTTTATTATCATCATAATCTTCTTTCTATTACACTAGATTACATATAACTTTACATTGACTTCCATTGCTTTTTCAAAAGGGAATGCCATGCATGTCAGTCAATACAGAGATATCAATCTCCCCGCTTTATCATTCAATATCTTTTCCATGCTTTTCCCAATAATTGTTATTATTATTTTTTTAAACAGTCAATCACTATTTCTCATTTTGCCTATTAAAAAGACTTCACCCATCATGAAATACTTTCCAGACCGGTTCAGTTGAGAATACTATACATGTCAACATCAACAGGTAATAAACCATATCTATTTCTCATCAACATCCTGCCTCTCTATTGTTCACTGCTGTCTTTATCCTCTTCTCTCTCCTTTTTTTTTTTTTATACTTTGTTTTTTATTATAAATTTTTTTTTTCTCATCACAACACACATATGAATTTTCCATCCAAAATACACTGTGCATTGGCTCAATCAAGCACATCAACATATATGTTCTCAGCAAATGATTTCCCAATTTTTGTGTCCTGCATACCTTGCCTTTTGTTTTGCCATCCTAGGTTCCCCATCCCCATCCTCTGCCATGTCCCATCTTCCTCCTCCATTGTCCCTGACATTCATGATTGCCCTCAATCATCCAATGTGTTTTTCAAGCCTCAGGTCTGAGACTTGAGCTGTGGAGTTGGCCCTGCAGGACCCAGTGCCTTAACTACCACACCACGTGCTGGCCCAAAATTTTATAATTTTTATTCCACAATTTTTATATGCAAACAATATTCATTATTTGAATCAGAAATACCACTTTCACAGTTACTAAATTGTTACTTTAATTTTCAAAATTGTAAGTTCTAGCTTCTACATTTGGTCTGGCTTCGGATTTAATTATGCGGGAGGCCTAGCGATCTAATTAAGAAACACGTGAGGAAATATTACCGAAGTAATAGTAGCTTCACTCTAACTAGCACAAGGGAACACAAATAAAAAAAGGAAAGGATCAAAGAAAAAGGGTACTACAATCTAAAAATTTCACCATCACCTACTTCTGTAACGCCTTTGTGCTAGGACTCTCAAATATGTTCCCACATACACAGCTGTTTATCTTTCAAGGAATTGCTTCTTACAAAGGAAGTCTTCTTTTTAGGTCAGTTTATTCACTTCTGGAACCGACAAATCAATTGTTTCTATAAGCTAAACATTAGCGGATGGAAACAATGCAGAACCACGATTCTAGGTTACATTTATTTATATCCTGAAAGTAAACAGCCCAGCAGCATGTGGAAGACAGTGCCGGGAGGCTGCGCCCAGCCCCACCATCAGAGACTAGACCAGGCTCGGCTGGAGGCAGCTGGTTCATTCCTAACCGCCAAGAACGCTGTGCTCTTCCTCAGGCACAGCAAGGGCCACACCTGTGAGGACCCCAGTGCGTCTCCCTGTTACGTCCCAAAGCAAATAGCTTGCAATTTTTATACTGTACGCTGGATGAATAAAATTAAAAGGAAAGCGACCAAGTATTTGGAGCTATACAGTGTCTGGTCCTCTGAAGAGTAAAGGACTTGTACAATTCAGGGTCCTCAAGTTCTAGAAAGTTAATTGGAATCTACGAGTTCTATTGTTTCTGCACTTACATAAAATAATCTGCAAAATCTCAAAGAAAAACACATTCAGAGGCACTACCAGAGGCGTTGGAAACAAACAAGCAAAAATTAAGAAGAGCAAACTTCTTTGCAACTGTGGTCCAACTCTCTGCTCACTGCCTCTGTCCCTGGAAGGTGGCCTGACAGCCCTCCTGCCCATTTCAGCGTGTAGCAGAGCTTCACCTGTGCCTGGTGATACACGATGAACTCTAGACAAAAATTCCACCCTGAGGATCCTATTAGGAGTAATGGTCTACTTCCTAGATCGCCCATGGGCATTTATTATCCTACCTTTCAAAGAAGAGGAACTCCAGGCACAGGGAGGTTGTTAACCCACCCACGGCCACAGAGACCATTACTAGCCACGCCAGGTCCCAGCCCAGGGAGCCAGACTGCAAGGTGCAGGTGCAGCCCTCTGGGTGCCGCCTCCTACTCTGTCACCAGCTGTCCGAGGGTCCCACCGAGCAGGCTGGCCTCATCTTCCGATGCTGGCCAGCCTTGGACATTTGTCCCACCTGCCAACACCCAGCTACAGCCACAGCAGCCTGCTACACACCCAGCAGCACCCCTGTTAAGGGCTCAGTAGATGCTGAGGACAGCGCCACTTACTAGGGACAGAGGGACAAATGGGACATCATCGCAAATAACCTCCGAGAGAAGGCGTAGGAGGAGAGGAGAGGAGGAGAAAAACTGTAAAAACTGTTGCTAGGAAGGGTGAGTGGACTGTCACCAGGCAGGGAAGGGTTATGAGACAGGGGGGCAGTGTGGGAGGCAGAATAATGACCCCAGAGATGTCTGTCCCTTAGTCCCTGGAACCTGTGAATGTATTACTTGCATGGTAAAAGAGACTTTGCAGGTGTGAGTAAGTTAAGGATCTGGAGATGGGAAGATTACCCTGCATTGTCCGGACAGGCCCAGCGTAATCACAGGGTCATTCTAGTGAAAGAGGGCGGGGAGGGAGTGAAAGTCAGGGAAGGAGGTGTGACCATGGAAGCAGGAGGTGGTGGCTATGACCACTGACTCTGAAGACAGAGGAGGCCACGAGCCAAGCAAGGAGACCACTTCTGGAGTCTGGAAGCAGCAGGGAGACAAGAGTCTCTCTCTCAAATCCTTCAGAAAGTAATGTCCCCCGCCAACACCATCGCTTTATCACAGCAGACCCCTTCTGGACTTTCAGATCTCTAAGACTTTACAGTAACAAATTTGTCTTGTTCTCAGCCACGCACTGGAAATATGGTATAGCAGGAATAGGAAGTTCCATAGGTGGACAGGAGGAGGTCTTGTGGCATGCCGAAGCAGAGGCAGGAGTAAGTACAGCACCCATAAGATCTTCATTTGAGGGGCCAGCAGGTGGCATGGTGGTTAAAGGTGCTGTATTCCCACATGGTTGACTGTGGTTCGGGTCCCAGACCTGGCAGCTTTGTTTCTCACTTTCCCTCTCTCTCTCTCTGTCTCTCTCTGGTCAAATAATAATAACAACAACAACAACAACAAACAACAAACAAATGGGAATAAATAAATATTAAAGAAAAGAACTTCATTTGACACAGGAACAAGTGAATGAAGTACAGTGTGGGAGGGTGGCAGAGGTACACGAGAGCTCGGTGACACCGGGCAGGTCACGCACGCACAGTTCTGTGCTCTACGGGGAGCATCGCACTTGAGGGGCATGGAGAGCAATCAGGGCAGACGTCTTAGAGGAAGCAACTTCTAGAGCAGGCCTCTTAACCTGCAAGTCCAGCTATGCATGACTCAGGTTTAAGGCGGAATTGACTTATCCCAAGAACGGTGCTTGTATCTAACCTATTGGCCACAGCTGATGGCACCCCTAATCCTGACCTCCTCACCTCTCATCACAACCACAGGAGAGCATTCCTAACCCTTCTCTCCCTGGGTCCTACCCTCTTCATCCTCCAACTCATCAGCCAGCTGTTTGATCATTCAAAGCACGCCGTCCTGATTACATAAATTCTTGGCTCAGAACCCTCCCTCCTGCGTTTCTTACCAGCGCAGGCACCGACCCCTCCTTCGCCACGCCTGCTCTTCCACAGGCCGGCTGTGCCTGCCCTCCAGCACGCTGGGCTTGTAGGTTCAGTCAAGCTCAACGATGTACCCTGAGGCATGTTTGGATTCTGCCACTAAAAAGCCTCAGTATTTGAAACACATGAAGAATCAAGATTTTCCAATTCAACTAGAAAACACTCCAAAGAACTTTGGCTCTCTAATCTCAGATGAAAGGCTGAATCAACATTCTCAATTTTTCACTTGAATTTCAAAGCACCTGGAAAAATCAAACCTCAAAAATTAAAACCTCACTGATTTCCTTTTTTGTTTTTTGGCCTTCATGCCCAATGTTCTAGACTTATTTTTCTTAGCTAATGTTTTAATTTAAAAAAATTATTTAGAAAAAATCTGGGCTTATTAAGGTTTTTAAAATAATTATTACTACATTTATACAGGTAAAGGGAAGTTACTGAAAGGAAAACTGTTCTGTAGACCCAAGAAAGAAAAAAAAATACATCCTTGGAAGTTGGAAAGAATATTTAATTGCATTTCGAATATCTAAATAAAGAAGACATTTCAGCGGATTGTGACTACACAGAAGACTGCTGTTCTGTATTTTCATGCTCCATTAATAACTGGACACTATTTCATAGTTTATAAGTAATCTGCAATGGGAAGGGTCCCTTTTGCTTACCTACTGTGTGGTGAAAGAAAAGCACATTTGAAATACTTAAGAAAGTGTCATTTATGCTGAGAAATCCAGAAGACATACCTGTGGTTTCTCTATTCCCGAAAGAATGTCTTGCACCCTCTTTACTTCCAATTCATACTCTGCAGTACGGAAGAGAAAAAAGGAAAAGCAAAACCATTAGACGGCAGTAAGGTTGTCAAATCCCTTCCCCAAGGCCTTTTGACAAGGGTTATCATTCAGTCAGTTAGTTGCCTGTTACCATGAGGTTACTTTTAGAAAGTTTTTTAAAGAATTATTTTATTTAACTCTATCCATTTATTTATTTATTTCAATTTGACCAGAGAGGGACAGAACAGGAGAGAGGGAGAAAGCAAGCTGTCAGGTCTGGGACCCGAACTGCGATCGGCCACGTGGGAGTCCAGTGCCCTTAAACACCATGCCACCTGCAGGCCCCACTATGAAGTTTTGATGCCACAAATGTGATTGTGAAAATCAGGAATGGGGACCTTTCCGAGGAGCGGGTCTCACTGCAGCTGCCCAGTTGCTACAGCATAGTTTTAAGTCTTCACAAGGTGAGCTCGATTTACACAGAGCTCCACTTAATGATTCAACCGCGAACAGGAAATAAAGGGTCCTAAGAAGGGTACACGGCGACCAATGAGTAAAGAGACGAGGTGAAAGACACAGCAGCCAGTCTAGGCCCGCCTGAGAGTTCAAATTTTCTATGTTGATGTTCTGCCTGATTTCTTTATTCAGACTCCAGAATTCAGAGTTTGACTGTCAGTCACTGGCGTGTCCGAGTGGGGGGCTGACCTGATCTGCGCTCGAGGAGATTCTTCTAGCTCCTGCTTGAGTAACGGGGATGAAGGTGGGCACAAACACAGGAAGACCAGTCACTCATGGCTGCCCGCAGCTGGCCTGGGTTGGGGTGGGAGTGGGAGTAGTGAGGACGAGACCGTTTGGGAGGTTGTGTAGCCAGTGAAGGATCGGAGATTTAAGTGAAGATGAAGCAAAACGATAGACAGAGATGATAACCAGGGCATGCGTCCTTGTCCCCAAGATATTTCAAGTCTAGTGTGGAGGGAGGGAAGACATGAAGGCAGTGACCAAAACTTGTGATAGGTGCCATGGGAGAGGGAATACAAAACAAGGCCAGCGCCTAGGAACCCAGGGCAGCTGAACCCCGGAGTCAGCAGGAGTCGGAGGGGAGGGGAGGGGAGGGGAGCGGAGCGGAGGGGTGCGGAGCGGGAGGGGAGGGGAGGCGGGCTGGGGCACAGCAGGGGTGAGAAGCCCAGCCACTCAACAGAGCTGTTTATTCTCATCATTCTGGTCTAACCCCAAAGTCACCTTCTCGAAAAGCCCACCAGAACCCCTGTGTTTCCTTATCAGCTGTCAAGAGTTGAAGAGAATTTTCTGTTGGTTTCTTCTCTTAAATATTATCTTTTCTACTATGTCAAAATATAAGACACTAGAAGGTATGGGCTAGGCCAATCTTTTTCTTTCTGTAAAGAACCAGGTAAATGTTTTAAACTTTGTGGGACACACGTAGGCCTCTGTTACATATCGTGTGTGTGTGTGTGTGTGTGTGTTACTCTTCACAAGCACACCGGCTATCTGAAGTCTGTAGACCACACAAAAACGAGCTGCCAAGCAGGCTGTGGTCTGCTTGCTGAGCCCTTCCGAGGGCATGGCCACCATGCACGCACAAGGCGTGGCCCAGATCAGCACGTTCAGCGCTCAGGAGATACTTGTTGGCGAAATAAGGGAGCAAAAATGTGTATTAGAAAGTACAAAACTTGTAGGTGACATCACCCTAAACTTTAAAAAGATTAGCTCTTCATGTTTTTTTCTTTCCCCCCCGCTGCAGTCTGTCTTTATTCCAATGAGAAAAACAATTGGACTGGTGACACTATCTTTCTAAAAAACTGCAACTGAAAAAAGTCTACAGTAAAAAAAAAAAAAAAAGAAATGTCACATGTTCATTTATAGCCATGGATTTATGTTAAGAAACAGGTGGTGGGTTGTGCCCCTAAGTCAGGTGTACACATTTTCTGGAAGTCCCTGCTAAGTAAACTATAAATATTATGTAGTTCGGAAGTTACTTGTAAATAAAAAACAACATAAACAAACATACACATAGCTCCAATGAATTGACTAGCTCAGTTGTTAAAGACAAATTTTCTTAATCTCTGGTTATTCTGAAGGACCCTAAGGTTTCAAACACTCACACAGCGAGATACAGGATGTCTTCAAAAAATTCCTGGAAATGTATATGAAAAAATTACCCATGGACTTGCAACTCCTTTATACATTCAAGAACTAGCTTAAAAAGGCAATTGTATCTAAATACCACATCTGGATTCTCTTAGAAGGGCAAGAACTTGACGGTATCCTTAGATAGAAGTTTAAACTAATTGGGATGACCATCTCCTCAACATGGAACGAAGAGAAAATTCAAGAGTTTGGAAAAGAAGAACTCTTAGGACCATCCCCTAGGTTGGAGAATGAAAGACCAGAGTTAAAAGGTTTGTCCCACAAAAGCTGGAGAGGACCCTCTGCACTTTCAGGTACAGATAACAGAAGAAATGGTTATGCTTTTGACAGAAAAGAACAAAAAATAGAGTAGGAGGTTAAATTGGAAAGAAAAAAGCTCTGTCCAAAATAGGAAAGAATGGCTTTCAGATAAGAATCAAAAATACAAGTAAAAAGTCTTGAGATTAAAAAAAAAAAAATTGACTTCCAAAGAGAGGTCAGGCCTTTCCCTATCAGCCTGCCTTTGATTACGATCACAAAAGCGGACTTTTCTGAGCACGCAGGTATGTGCTGGTCAGTGCACCGTGCCTGGCTGAGTTTGACAGGGCCCCTTGCACGACGGGTGTTCACGGCTCTGTTTACAGCAGTGGGTAGAACCTACTCTGTGTAGAACCGTGTCCATGTACTGCACCACGGCTTGCACCTCTGGTGCCGGCGTGACACCTGCGGGTGCCATGGTTAACTGAAGAATGAGGAGGAGAAAAATGAGGAAACTGAGGCTCGTAGAGGAGGCATGGTTTCCACGGGGCCAAAGCTCTAGGACTTGGACACAAAGCAAGGAGAGTCTTTGACTGTGTTATGGCAAATTATGGAGATCTGGAGGTCGAGAGAGGACACAGAGTAAAAGCAGAAAGCAAAGCGGTGAGACGGGTGGGTGTCTAACTCAGACAGACAGAAGGAAGGAAGAGATGCAGGACAAGACACCTTCATGTCCCAGAAGAGGGAGTGTATTGATTTTTATTTTTAACTTGGAAAACATTGTCTAATAAATAAAGTGAAAGCCAGTGATCTGGGAAGAAGGTATATGAAAAAAAGAATAAGTGGGTTGGGACCAGCGGATGGTATAATGGTTTTGTCACTGGACTCATGTAATCAACTGTGGTTCGAGTCCCAGACCCAGGGCTTAAAACTCATGCCAGGTGCGTGTGTGCATACCCCAAATCTGAGAGGAGAATGAAGGAGAAGGGCTTGTGTGGCCATCCCTCCTGGGGGGTGATTTCTGGCTTTCTGCCTCTGACTCTCTGGAGAGCACATGCGCCCTATAGCAAAAATCTCTAAAAAATAAAAAAAGAAGAAGAAGAAAGAGAAAGTGGGTCAGGAATGGAGCCAAATAAACAAGGGTTTCTGGGAAGATCAACAGTAAAACGGGCAGGCCGTGGGGAGGACAGGTAGGCAGGACTGCCGTGGCCCTGCTGCGCCTGCTCACAGCCCGCTGGGTCGGGAGAGACATGGAACCAAAGCCAGACTGGAATTCTGCCTCGCTTTCAAGGGTCCAATTATGAATATGGAAAAAAGAGAAAAATGCATTTACACCACATTTATTTCATGCTTTTCCATTTGGGCTGCCACAGACTAAGAGGGAAAAAAAGTAAATAAATACCAGGCACACGATTTGCACAAAGAGTGAAAATAAAATCTGTTTAACTGAGCGAAAGTAACAGTTACTTACCACGTAGAAAATAAACTCTTGCAAGCTAACAGTCTGGCATGAAAAATGTCAAAACGCACAGCCCTACTCCCTGAACACTGCATTCAGGAGGGCCTGGGCCTCCCTGCCCCTCAGAGTCGTCTACGACTGATCACCTTCCCGTAAGGCAGCTTCGGAGCCCCGCTGCACGAGGGTATTGCTTACGTCTGGCCCAGCTCCTGTTTGCTGGCACGTCCCCCTCTCCTTTCTGTCTCTCTCCCTCTCTCTCTCACATGCACCCCAGATTGTGACAGAGAAAAGAAAAAGGAAGACTAGCTAATCCCCTCTACAAGGAGCAAACAAATTTAAAAAAAAGAGAGAGAGAATAATTCTGGCGGTTTGTCTTAGGATATCTACTTTGTTTTATAAAGTTTAAAAGAAAATGTCTTCCTTTCGAACCCCCAACCCTCTCAAGAGAAAAAACTAGGAGCGTGCCCACCGAACAACGGTCAACCAGGAAGAGAGAGAAAGGTCGGGGTGTGATGCGAGCGCGAGGCCACGCTCCTTTTCCTTCACCTCCAGGGCTGCGTCTTGCCTGGGTTCAGAAGCCGCTCTTATAAAGCAGGTCATGCTCCGTGTCGCACAGAAGCTGCCCTGAGGTAAGCATGCACACCAACACGGTCCCTCTATCTGCTTCAATCCAGTGAGCCCACCGGAGCGGAGACGCACGACCTGCCTTTCGCACGCCATGCTGCTCTCTTAGCACCTGGAAGGCTTTCCCCTGGAATGGAAACTAGTTCATCGGTCAAAAAGAACGACGGGGCGATGAGATCCTTCACGCAGGGACACTTAGGGATGGGAAATTTCTGGAAAAGATGTGGCCATGGGGGCCTCTAGGCACACATGCTCCCAGTGAGCTGAGAACCAGACTATTTGGAAGTGCCCAAGAAGGGAAGGGCGGGGATTCCACACTCGGAGACTCAAATCTTTCGCTCCACCTAAAAGCAACTCTCCTCCCCAAAACATCAAGCATTTTTAGCAGAGGGAAGGTTAAAAGAAAAATATACAAGCAAAGCAAATACAGCTTTAAAAAAACAACAACAATAACAGCGACAACAAAACCACACATACCGCGGGGAGCTGTGTCACGTGACATTTAAACTTTCCATAAATAATGGTTGTCATGTTTGCTCCGAGAAG